ACTTTAAAAACTGTGATAATCCACTTTAAAGCAACACTGTCAGAAATAAGCAATGCTCGCACATTTGATCGCTCAAAATAATCATTATAACTTAAGTGCCATGTTAGCTTGAACAATATTCTTGCCTGTTGAGGCAAGGAACAACTAACTTGCTACTAAACACAAGAAAACAGTAGTAAGAGTGCTTTTTATCGTTGATATTTTTTTAACGAGAATTTTTCTTTGGGTGCGATATAACACACTATCTAAAAGGTAGGGAACGGTCTCTCTACTTTGAATACAGGAAGTGAGATACGCAGGTGCTTCGCCTCTAATTATTAGGTCTCTCGAAAGCTGAGTTTAAGAAATGAAAAATTACCTAACTGTATTTGTATGAGAAATAATATCTTGCAGCATCATTTTCCCACTCTCATTCTGTAATCTGGCTAGGTACTGCTCTGTATTTGTTATTGTTAATTTCAAACAGAAAATTAATTGCAATAATATTTGCTTACCCATCCTGTGGGGTGTAAAATTAATGAAGAACATTTTTCTCCTCAAGAAGCTAACTGAAAAAAACTTGATCATTATCTTGCGTCAAGAAACAGCGTGTAGTAAACCGTTCGTCATCAGGTTAATTTCATTTTTTCTCTATTATTTGAATAAACAAAATAAATAAATATCTGAATATCTCTTTGCAAGTGAATATATTAGAAAGAGCAAGACAGGAAGGGAAAGAAAGAGGTAAGTATCTGATTTTTTTGTCGTTTGATTGTTTTTGTTTAATCGTCTTCAATTGTTGGCTCTTGTTGTTTACCATCATCTCCACCTACTTCTCCTGGATCACCACTTTCACCTTTGTTAATTTTTGATAATATTGGTAAACAAATGTCTTCCAATTCTTCTAGTTGTTTTTCCAATGCACCTTGACTAGCATCTACGACAAAGAAAATTAAATGTTTTTTTCTACTAGGGCGAGCAGTAAGCAACTTACCAATATTCCTGTTCATCCATTTAATAGCATTATTAATGATATTTGTCATGAATGTTTTATCATCTGATGTTAAAGTTTCACTTAACTTTTCATTATTTATAATTGTTAACAGGGCTGAATGATATGTTTCCAGTTTATTCATTGCTTCTAGACGGGGTCTGTCCAGTAGGTTATATAAACGTCGAGCTAAAATAATCTTTATGAGTATTGTAGAAAATACAATAAGAAAATTGCTTACTTGTTTATTCATTGTTTGCCATTCGTAACAGTTGAAAAATTGATTAGTGTGTTTGAACAAGTGATATGGATTAGTGTCTAAAGAAAATTTCTTGAAAATATTTGCAGTAATGGACGATGAATATAAACTTACATACATTGCGAAAAAAGTCGTCTGTCTGTAATTTCGAGATAAAATACAAGAGTGGTCATTGTTTTTTCTTCTTACTGCATAGAAAAAGACGACTATGGGCTTTACACATCATCAGAAGATTTTTTCTTATTCTATATCGAAAAAGCGCATCCTCTAAAATCTAACATTATAAAACGCATGATGCAGGCAGTATTTTGTTGAATTTCAAACAAAAAATAATGAAAATTCTATTCAGAAAATTATAAAACTTTGAATTAAGCGAAACTAGGAACATTGTTTTTGTTCATAGTTTTCTTATGCTCTTTTTATCAATAGTATACAGTTTAAACCTACAAAATATAGAACAAAAATTCTTCAAAACCGTCAAAATTCCTGTTTCTATGCAATAGTTCAATTAGTTTAAAGTACAGGGGTTTGAAAAGATTTGTATTCTTGTAATTTGTTTTCTACTACAGACATGAATTGAAGTCAGAAAAACTTTATTTTTGTTGACACTTTTTTCTAAGTTAGCGCTGTTATTTGATGTTCAGTTTTGTGATAATATACTAAGAAATATTGTTATAATAATTTTAAATCGCATTAAAACTGCAAAATATTTTTCATCAGTTGGGGGGAATTCACTTTTAACAAAAGAAAATTTTCTACTGCTCTTTTTTCTGTAGTTTTATGATATCTCTTTCTTTCTTTGTAGTTGATCAAATTTATTTAATACAATACTATCTTTCGGCTCTTCTGACAGACTGTGATATAAAATAGGAAAGGTTGCATAACGGTCTTATTGACCATAGATGACTTGAAATTTATCTTTGTCTTTATATAAATAATAGACATCGACTGAATATGGTTTTTTGATCGATCTTTTCTCATGATCGTTTCTACTATAATATACTATTATTTTAACTTGTGAGGTGAGTAAAAGTTATAATTTTTTCTTTCAGTTATTTGATATATTGTGTTTCATCGAACAATCGAAACGAAGATTCAAGAAAATTTCGTTGGTTAATCATGTCCATTTTTAGCTTCCCTTCTGTTGTATATTCTACTGTTAATATACTGTCCGCATACAAAATAAACAAAGATTGTCCTCTCCAATGCTCATCTTATTTTAGTCAGAAATCAACAGAATATTTGGGTTATTTAGATTTATCTCCCATCTAAAATCAGCGTCTTCCTTTTCCGAAAAATAAAAGCATTTAGATCTTCTGACAGTTTCTAGCAATAATAGGTGAACTTATGGTCATTAAGTAATGTACATTTAAATATAAACGAATATTGTCATAAAGTGAGTAAGGGGCAGCGGAATTCAGAGAACCCTACATTGATAAAATTTTCAAGATTAGCAGAAAGAATTCAAGAATTAGCATCAAGGTTTTTATCAATTTCTGAAATTTCAAAAATTCAGAATTAGCCATTCGACGAATGCAGAATTAGCAGAAAGAATTCAGAAATAAACATCAAGCTTTCTCTTTCAACTCAAGAATAAAACAATTGTTTACAACAAGAATACAACAAAAAATCAAAATGTGATTTTTTATCAATTCTTGGAATTCAAGAATTCAACAATTGAGAGACGCATCTTATTTTTTTCAATTCGAACAATACCAAAATTCAGAAATTCGAAATCTGACATTTTATCAATTCTTGGAATTCAAGAATTCAACAATTGAGAGACGCATCTTATTTTTTTCAATTCGAACAATACCAAAATTCAGAAATTCGAAATCTGACATTTTATCAATTCTTGGAATTCAAGAATTCAGCAATTGAGAGAGGCTTCTTACTTCTTTCGATTCAAAGAATACAAAAATTCAGAAATTCGAAATGTGACATTTTATCAATTCTTGGAACTCAACAATTCAGCAATTGAGAGAGGCTTCTTACTTCTTTCGATTCAAATAATATAAAAGTTCAGAAATTCAAAATATGAGTTCTATTAATTCTTGGAATTCAAGAATTCAGCAATTGAGAGACGTAACTTATTTTTTTCAATTCAAAGAATACAAAAATTCAGAAATTCGAAATGCGACCTTTTATCAATTCTTGGAATTCAACAATTCAACAATTGAGAGACGCATCTTATTTTTTTCAATTCAAAGAATACAAAAATTCAGAAATTCGAAATCTGACTTTTTATCAATTCTTGGAATTCAAGAATTCAACAATTGAAAGAGGCTTCTTACTTCTTTCGATTCAAAGAATATAAAAGTTCAGAAATTCAAAATATGAGTTCCATTAATTCTTGGAATTCAAGAATTCAGAGACGCATAGCGCAATTGCAATAATTTCAGCTGCCGTTAGATGAGTGAGTTCCAGAATTCATTTAAAGGATCTTGAAAGGCCTTGCGTTACTAAGTACAACGAAGTGGAAGACAGAGCTCTCAAATTCTGCTATAGAACTACAAATTCCTATAGGTTATCCGTTACAGTTTTTTCCTCCATACATATGCAGAGATTTTGGAAATTTCTGCTGTGCATTTGATGTTGGGTAGCCACTCACCCTCATCGTCGCACGCCACCCAACCCCGGCG